AGACCATCTGAGAATAGTACGAAGTTGAAGTTTGCGCCAGGAGATGAGCAATTTCGTTCGCCTGTATGTAGCAATGGTGGAACGAAAATCAGCGTTCAGAGGCGATTCGTTTGATGAGAAGTGTGAGAAAATTGAAGGGAGCAGAGCTATGTTCTTCCCGAAGAAGAGAGATGGCTGCCGGCAAATCTGATTCGATCTCCACGCCAAATAATTAAGCCTGTACTGAGTAACCAATGAGGAGCCACAAAAATAGCTGTTATTTCAGCTTCAAGAATTGATCTGGCCTGAAGTGGAAAGGGTCCGGAAAATATGAATTTACCTTCAGCATCTCAGGGTATAGCACAACCAAAGGATGAATTTCAGTTGAAGGAAGCATCTACATTCAATTTGAAGGCATTTTTCGGTTTTCTCCAGTTTACTTTAAGACACTTGGGCTCATGAATTCTTTTACTAACCGGAAATATACCTTCTTGAATGAAGAGGTCTGGGACCTTCCCAACTTTAGGAAATGTTGTTCTTTATGTAGTTCTTTATGGCTTTCACAATAGTCATATGATTAAAGTTGTAAGTGTTGTTATCCCAATAGTATGATGAAAAAGATTTCCAAATATGCCACACCACAATACCAGGAAGTACATGTTTATAAATGTCTGCAATTGTCTTAGAGCCAGCCTCTAACCATCATGAAAAACAGATTTGTCTATGAGATACCTCCCAATTAGGTATTGGAATCATGAATAAGAAAAATGCTAAAGGTACCCCAATTGGTACCCCCAATTTGTACCCCCACCCTATTTTTGTGGCTCACAAAAGCACCTCATTAAAGTGGGGCAATTCATTTATTGAGGTGGGCTTTTGTGAGTCACAAAAATAGGCTGAGGTACAAATTGGGGGTACCAATTGGAGTACCTATAGCAGGGTTGCATGAATAAACCCATGAAATAAGACCAAATTTGTTAAATCTGTGAGAAACTGTAAAAAAATATGGGAGGTGGTGATAGATTCTCTTCTGCAAAAGGGGCATTGGGTGGGTAAAGCACATATGTTGAATCTACTGATGTTGTTAGGAAGAGGAAGAATATTCTGGAAAAGCTTCCACATAAAAAGTTTTATGGGGTAAAATTGTTTGGGATGCCAAATGTGTTGATTTGAGAAAGTAACTGAGTGAATGGCTCTTACTTCTTGAAATGCAGATGATAGAGTGAAGTTACCATCCTGAGATGGTTTCCAGACTATGCTTCCATTTTCGGACTCCACCAAGTCCAGGCCATGCTCATGTGTATGACAAATTCCTTTCCAGATGGCTGAGTCATGTAATTTAGCCTTCAAGTCAGACCCCCTAGGATATCTAGAGTGCATAAAGTTAGCCCAAAGAGTTGAATTATTATACCAGTTCCACGAAATTTTGAGGGAGAAAGCAAACCGTATAAGGATAGCATGTCTTCTTCCATTTCATCCAATGGATATTATTAGATCCCTCCTGTGTACGAAAGAAAAATGAAGTACACTTCCTTTCCAAAACATTAATCACTCTCTGAGGTAACTTAGCAACTGCCATAGTGCGAACAGGGATAGAAGACAGGAAATGTTTAATTAAAATGAGTTGCCAACTTTGTGAAAATACACTTTTCTTCCAGTTTGATAAGTGTTTATCAAATTAGTTGATGAGATCTTTATAGTAGCTGAATCCATTAATTCCCTTATGAAATTAGACCCCCAAGATATTTATTAAGGAGCTTAGAACTTTTCATTTCAAGAAGGCCTTCTGTATGTTCAATTCTGTTTTCAGGGAACTTAATTACTGCTGATAATAAATTGAATTTTGTTGTAGTTCACCATTTGCACAAAAGATTGTTGATAAGAGGAGAGGAACTTCTTGAAAGACAAAAGGGATCTGGCACCTCCATTCAAGAAAAGGAGCAGGTCGTCTGCATAGCCTAGGTGAGTAACAGTAGGGGCTCCATGACTGACTAAGTAGGATATAATCTTTCTAACATTTACCAGCTGGTTAAGGCCTCTTGAAAAAGCCTCTGAAGTTAAAATGAAAAGATAAGGCGGATATCTCTGTTTAACCCCCCTTGTTGGCTTAAAAAAACCTTATGAAGTACCATTGACCATCACTGACATATGTGTAGCCTCACGATTATTCATAATAATATTGATGAATAGGTCTTAAAAACCAAATTTTAGAAGAACAGCCCTAAAAAATCCCAAGATACTTTGTCAAAATCCTTGGCCATATCTAGCTTAATTGCTATGTTTCCTCCTCTTACCTTTTTATCCAGCACATGCATCAGTTCCTGTGCTACAAGTATATGACCGCTAATATCTCTGTTCCGTAGAAAACGAGCCTGCTCCTTAGATATAATCTTAGGTAAGATTAAATGATTAAGGTTTGATCACTACTAGATAATGCCTAAAATAGTGGATTACATGACTAAGTAATAATCGAAATGCATAACTAACCAAATGACCAAATCAATTCCCAAAACATAGATAACAAAATGAGTTTTTAATCGCAACAAATAAATGAATAAATCAATAAGTTTACATGTTTGCCCATGGCTACATGCACACTTGAATCCAGCTCAAGCTTGGTCACATTTAACACCATCCTTTGATCCAAGCTTACACATCCCTATTTTCTCCGTGAAATACTGATGTTTGGCTTGATTCAAGGTTTTAGTAAATAGGTCTACATTTTGAAAGTTGTTCCGCAAAAATGTAAGTTGATCCTTTCCTAAGCCATCAGTTGTCTGATAAAATGATATTGCACATCAATGTGCTAAGTTCTTGTGTGAAATGGAGGATTCCTTGCCATAGCAATACTGGAATTGTTATCACACCAAATCTCAGGTTCACCTTGATACTCATAGACCAAGTCCTTCAGCAATTTCTACCGCCAAAGTGCTTGTTCTGCTGAAGCCCCTTCAACAATATACTTAGCTTCAGATGATGATAGAGCCATAGTGTCTTGCTTCTTAGAACTCCAAGTAACAGCCCCAATTCCAAGATCAAACACTGAGCCTGATGTGTTTTTCCTGTAAAACTCTTTGTTCCTTTTATTCTTTTCGATTAGTTTCCGCCGGCGACCAACTCCGTTTTGCTATGCTCTCCGCCATGGATTCAGTGACTCTCCACCATGGATTCGTTGTCTCTCCACCATGGATTAGTCTCCCATGTTCCAACAATTATTCAAGCTATTACAAATTCAAGTTTTGTTTACAACTCGATCTAGATTATAATTTTTTCGCTTCATTCTTTTAAACATCGTTGTCATTGTAGTCATCTTTAGACGGGATGCGTAGATGCTCAAGCTGAATTGCCATTGAGTACGCCAGACAACATGAATAATTGTGGAAGAACTGGTCTAGCTACACAGATCGACAATGAGAGGGATTTTTTGTTAATTTTTTTCAATTATTTTCCTTCAAATCGAGAAATAACTTTAACCTCTAGCCCATCCTGTTTTGAGATCGTTTTAAATGATTTAGTCATTTGTAAAATCTGATGAATTTACATTTTACCTATCAAGTGTTTGTTATAATGTTTCAATGGTAAAAATAGAAATAAACCTCTTTTAAGAGTATACTGGTAGCCAATTTAGAACTATACGAACGTATGAGTTGAATACTGTAAAAATTAAGTCAATTTTAATACTTTTGAGTTGAACCATTTGTTTCTTTAGAGTTAAACTAGGTTATCCACTACTTAATATTTAAAGTAAATTGGTGCAATTGTGAATTAATTTAGTTGCCAGCCCCAAATTTATATCTCGGGCCAGATTTTATATCTCGGGTCACCTTTAAGATTTGTGGATATATCTTAGAGCTTTATGATGTGAATTATTTTTACTAAGATTTAGCATATAACGAGTCTTTTTCATTTGATTTTTATTATAATGAATGTTAAAACAGTGGTGCAATCTTTGCTTGTCCTAATTTTACTTTCGAGAGATACAAATTTGGGGTATTGTGTTTTTGCTTTACTTTTATAAAGTCTCCATTTGGGATAAAAAATATATTAATGGGTGGAATGTTGTTTGCAGCGTTTCCTGAACTCCGATCTTTCATCTGTCCAGAGCTCCACTGCCGATCAACTAAAATGACTAGGAGGACAAAGAAAGCTAGTATAGTATCGAAGTATGGCACCCGGTATGGTACTAGTCTTCGTAAATTAATTAAAAAGATGGAGGTTAGCCAGCACAATAAGTTCATCTGTGAGTTTTGTGGCAAGTACGCAGTGAAGAGAAAGTCAGTCGGTATATGGGGCTACAGAGATTGTGGCAAGGTCAAGGCAGGCGGGGCATATACCTCGAACACTGCTAGTGCTGTGACAGTCAGAAGCACAATCAGAAGACTTAGGGAGCAAAGTGAGAGTTGAGTCTTGAGACAATTCATTAAAAAGATGGAGGTTAGCCAACACAATAAGTTCATCTGTGAGTTTTTAACCTGATTCAGGTTCTTGTTTATGTTTTGATACTCAATATTAGACAATTCATTTCTTTTTTTTTAGTTTACTAGCATCTTTTGTGATTAAAAAAGTTGAATGTTGTTTGCAGTTTGGATGGAACTATAAAGTTAAACTAGCAATCCTGATTCTTTTTCTTTACCAAGGGGGCATTGCATTTTTTACATATTTTAAATTATAATATTTTTTGGATTTTTTTTTAATTCAGGTTTGTCTTGATTATTTGATATTTTTTTTTCACAGAACGGGACATTTTTATAGTACTATAGATGCACTCATTACTGCCAACTAACATACACATTCCCCCGAGTATATTAAGTCTTCCACAAAAACGAAAGGGAAATTGTCACAGTATTTTTTTACTTCTGCCAGAAATATCAGAGACCTTTGGCAAAAGTTGGAAGGCGGGGGCTGGTTGTGTTATATAACAAGGCAGCAGGTGTTATGGGGAAGTTTTGGGGATGATCACCCTTACTCATTAAACTGAGGCAACAAAAGAAGCATCCCCAGGAATGGACTCTATTCCCAACTGGAAGATGACAATCCTGCAGTTACATCTTCTTCGATCCCGCACTCATTTGTTCCTCAGGTGATCTTGAAATACCCATCATCACCCCAACTTCTATTCCACTGATTGGCAAGGAGCCAATAGTCTTCTCCATCATCGGAAGTTCCCCATCCTATGAGCTTAACAGCTTGCCCTCCCATTTCTTCGCCTGTGACATGTTTGTAGACTCCGGATTTGTAATATGCGAAGTCCTCATAGACAGTAAAGGAGACCTCGACAGGTCCATTACTGTAAATTTCAGCCATGATACTGTATGGATCAGAACTAACTGTGTATGCATTAACACTGAAATGTTTGGACTCCGACCAAATCAGATTCTCCTTCACACGTTCTTTCTGGCATTTGGGAGTGGGATAATAACAGGTATGTCATTCAATAAAGTCTTTGGGGCCTTCTTAGCGCCAAGAAGGTGCTTAAATTGGCTTACAGTAAAGTTTGAAAGCCAAAGATTCATGTCAGCTTTCCATCCTGCTTTTGTATTTTAACGATATCATCCTGAAGGATCTTGGGATCTGCTTCAGTCTGTGTTACATTCTTCACTGATAAAACCTGTAACAGTAGCTCGGATATGGCTCCTATGAGCAATAGAGATCTTGTTAAGCTTATCATCTCCATGTAGGGGAGAGCACGGGTCGGGTTCGGGCGGGTCGGGTTGCGAAATGGTAAACCCGTTCGGGTATCGGGGTAATAATCTTTAACCCAACCCTTAAAGAAAATGGTAAAAATATTTCGGATATTTTATGTTTCGGATTCCCTCGGGTATGGGTCGGGTTTCGGGTATTTCGGATATCCAAAATTTTGAACTAATTTCCCAACAATTTAGTTCTTTTAACAAAATCAGTTGAAAATGCACAACACAATCAAGAAAAATAACACAATATCCAACTTACATAAGTAACTACAGTTGAAAAGGCATGTATTCAAACTTGTCCCTTGGGTCAAGAACATTTGCAAAAAAAATCAGAAAGTTCATTTTCTCTGGGTCTCCCCAATATTTATCCAGTTTGGATTTCATTGTAGAGCCCATTTTACTTGTGGAAGCCTTGGGAGACTTCATCATGTCTTGAAGCACCAAAAACAAATCAGAAATTTCAGAGAAGAAAGTATTAGAAGTAACATACAAAGATCCAGAAATCCTTAGGGTCATTTCATAAAAACTTTCAAGAACTGATACTAAGGATTCACAATTCACCCAATCACCAATATCAGGCACTTCTGTACCTAAATCAGACCCATAACAACTCTCATTTTCCTCATATTCTTCAAAAACTCTTTCATTTGATAATGCTGATTTCAACATCAGATAGGTGGAGTTCCACCTGGTAGGAACATCTAGGTGCAGGCCACATTTGGACTCTGCTCCTATCAAATCAGATATATCCTTAAATTTTTGGAGTCTAGAAGGAGAGTTCCTAACATACTTCACTGCTTCCCTAACCCTCACTACAGATTTATCAGCCTCCTTCAACCCATCTTGGACTGCCAGATTCAAGATGTGGGCAATACATCTCATGTGTAGGTACTTCACTCTAACAGGAGAAGCACCCCATGATAACAATTTTTTCTTTAAAAATCCTATTGCAGTATCATTACTGCTTGCATTATCAACAGTCACAGAGAATATATTCTTTAATCCCCACTCTAATAAGCAATGTTCTAGGGCCTTGGCAATGTACTCCCCTTTGTGGGAAGTGACTTGCACAAAAGAAATCACCTTTTTCTGTAGCTTCCACTGACTATCTATGAAATGAGCAGTAATACACATGTAGTTGATCCTCTGAATAGAGGTCCATGTGTCAGTTGTTATACTGACCCTTTGAGTGGTCTCTTTGAACAACCTTTTAAGGCTCAGCTTCTCATCTAGATATATTTGGTAGATGTCCCTAGCAATAGTCCACCTAGAAGGGGCAACAAATCTTGGACATGCCACAGACAAAAACTTTCTAAACCCCTGCCTCTCAACAAACCTAAATGAAAGCTCATCAATTATTAACATTTCTGCAAGAGCTCTCCTGATTAGAGTTTGGTCAAAGACCCAGGTACCTATAACCCCAACTGTTTCTGGAGAGGTGGTTTGAGTATTAACAACTGGTTGGAAGGTTAATAGGGCTTGTCTTGTCTCTTTAGAGTGGGTATTTTTCAGGCAACTAAGCATGTGGTTTCTGAGAGAAGAAGTTCCATGCCTTTTAGACTCACAACAATACACCTTAGCACAATATATACATCTTCCCTTCACAAGGACTCCCTTGCTATCATACATTTTGTGAAAGTGTTCCCATATCTTGGATCTAGTTTCAACCTGTTTCCTCTTTTGTCCAACACCAGCAGTTGAAGCAATGTTCTGAGTTTGAGCTTCCACATTCTCAGCTTCCACTGCAGGTTGTTGGGGTGGAGGAGGTTGAGCACCAGATACAGATAGGTCTTGGGATTCCATCTATAAACCATTACATGAAACTTAGGGACCTTTTCTTAGCTTCCACAATCAGAATTCAGAAAGAACAAGGAATCATTCTTTCATCATCATTCATTCATTATTCTTTGGGGCCACAATCACTCTTTATGTACATAGTTATAATCATCTCAAATCATTCTCAGTCAAGGCAGCCATACAGATCAAGTCTGGAACAATCACCAAGGTGATCTACAGAATAGTATAAGCAGTAGGCTTAACTATTCTCTACAGACTTAGAAGAACCAGTCAACTCTAACTACTCAGCTTGAGTGTTTGAGTCAATCAGGTAACTTCTACAATAACAATAACCAATATGTAATAGGCAACATTCATACACATAACCTTACACAGCTTCCACCTTATAAATTCAGAAAGAAGCAATCATTGTTTCATCTTCAATCATTCATTCATCATTTCAAATCATTCTCAGTCAAGGCATCCATACAGATCAAGTCTGGAACAATCACCAAGGTGATCTACAGAATAGTATAAGCAGTAGGCTTAACTATTCTCTACAGACTTAGAAGAACCAGTCAACTCTAACTACTCAGCTTGAGTGTTTGAGTCAATCAGGTAACTTCTACAATAACAATAACCAATATGTAATAGGCAACATTCATACACATAACCTTACACAGCTTCCAACTTATAAATTCAGAAAGAAGCAATCATTGTTTCATCTTCAATCATTCATTCATCATTTCAAATCGTTCTCAATCAAGGCAGCCATACAAATCAAGTCTGGAACAATCACCAAAGTGATTTACAGAATAGTATAAGCAGTAGGCTTAACTATTCTCTACAGACTTAGAAGAACCAGTCAACTCTAACTACTCAGCTTGAGTGTTTGAGTCAATCGGGTAACTTCTACAACAACAATAACCAACATGTAATAGGCAACATTCATACACATAACCTTACACAGCTTCCACTATGACAATTCAGAAAGAAGCAATTATTCTTTCATCATCAATCATTCATTCATCATTTCAAATCATTCTCAGTCAAGGCAGCCATAGAACCAGTAACTTCTCCAACAACAATAACCAACATGTAATAGGCAACATTCATACACACAACCTCAAGCAAAGACATAACAATAATTTATACATAATTACAGTTTCGGACACACATGCCAACAATACAGTTTGAACATCATATTTTACTTCCACACTTCAATAATTAAAGTTTCGGACACACATGCCAACAATACACTTCAACATTCAAGGCTGCTCGAGTCACACAATAAACAACAACTCACAAGTCAGAAAGTCACAACCACAATTTACACACTCTTCATCAAGCAGAGAATAGAAGTTATACCTCACACTTGAGTGTGACTGATATGAGAGATTGGGAGACTAAGACTGAGCTTAGGTTTACCAGAAGGTCCAACCGGAAAAGAGGCAAATCGGGCAAGCTTCCACAGTTCAACTTCAGATCCGATGACTTTAGGGTTTCAACTTCAAACCAAGAACTCAAGAAGCATGTGAGAGTAAATGACGAACACACTCAGACAGTCAGACCCTCATAGAGTCACCACTCACCATCTCTCAACCGGAGTCCGGAGAAGGAGGCGGAGAGATTTGGAAGAGAGAGTGAGAGTAACCGAGTAAGGTCGGCGAAGAGAGTAGTCAGAGAATCAGAGTAGAGAGATAGCGAAGGAGGCAGAAATGGGTTAGGGTTTATTATGGGAGTATAAATATAAATATATATGGGCTGGGTACTGGGCTGGGGTTTCGGGTTTTCGGACGGGTCGGTTGGGCAAAAACCAAAACCCACCCAGCCCAATAATGTTTAGGCTTTAGCAGATCGGGTTTTCGGGTTTCCATTTCGGGTCGGTTGACCCTACCCGTTCGGATAATATCCGAAATATCCGTTCGGATATTCGGGTTGGGTCGGTTTATGCTCAGCCCTATCTCCATGAGCTTATTTGATCTTTAGTTGGCTCTAAGCTGCTGATATGGGTGCTTTTATTTTAATTTAGTTTTCGCACAATGTTTATATTAAGGCTATTAGCTCAACTAGTAGAGCGATGTGCATATTTGCATGAAGGTGCGGGTTCAAGTCCCGCATAGCCTAAATTTTAAATTATTACAAGATCAATGCTAACGATTTGCTTACGATTTACTATTTTCTGCTCATTTATCTTTTCTTTTGAGCCACTTTGCTTTATTTATTGAAGCAAAATTAATGAAAGGCAGACAACATTGTATTGATACAAAAGAAACTGAAAGTAATAGAGCCTCAATAAGTTCCATGCTACAATGCTAGGCAGCTGTTCCTCTCTCTGATTGCCGTTTTGGCATATATTGGACACCACGCCCATAACGGCATAACCTCTCTACGCTGCATTTTGTAAACAACAAAACCTCATCTTTAATATGGCCCAACTCTAAGTAAGACGTATGCATAATCTATTACATTCTACATGAAATTAAAATTCGAAAAAAATAAATCATCAATCCACTTGTTGAGATAGCCCATGTGGGATTCGAACTCACATCTTCGTGTGGTCACACGATGCTCTTCCAATTGAGCTAATAGGCTGTAAAAAAAATATGTAACTTTCCATCTTAAAAAGTTATCACTTTATGTTTAAAAGTTGACCATTTTAATCTATTGGTCAATTAAGTTAACATAGCTCTAAAGTTGCTAAAACTGATAAGTTGTTGATTTTGATATGTGAATGTCATTTTTAAAAGCAAATAGAACAAGTTTATAGAAGGTCTAAGTCTAAACCAAGTTGCTGCTACTTTTAAGATAAATTAAAATGCAATAACTTCTTATACAACTTCTTCTACCTGGTATGATATATACATGCGTTATAACTTCACCTTGTTCAAATTACAAACATGTATCCAAAAGTAATTAATTATACACACTAATATAACAAATATTATAACTTTTATAAAGTTTATTATAACTTGTAAGTTAACCATGAGAAAATATTAGTTAAAAGTAACAAAATCAACAATAAAAGGAGTGCAAAATTAACAAGTAACTTCTAAGTTATACTACCTCTGTCCCGTTTTATGTGTCTTAGTTGACTTGGCACGATTATTAATGAAGTAGTTGCAAAAGTAAAAGTTGTGGTTGAGGTTTGAGTATAATAAAGTGAAATGATGTAAGCCACATATTTCTTTCCTAAAAAGGAAAGGGGACACTTATTTTGAGACAACCCAAAAAGGGAAGTAGGACAGGTAAAATGGGACGGAGGGAGTAACTTTTAATAGGAAATCTCCAACTGGTAAAATATATCTTTTAAAAACTATTCATAACTTTTAATAAAGTATTCATAACTTTTAACATAAGAAGGTGCACTCCCATCATAGTCCCATGTAAACTATTAATCCTCACCAAATATTTGTAAATATATAGTCTTACAAACAATGTGCTTACTATCTTGGGACAAATAGAAAAAATGACATGTTTAATTATCACTCCTGGAGAAAGAAATCATTGAGCCAATATCCCAATACACATAACGTATTGCACGCCTATTTGGATTTTGTTAATGAGTTCTTAAAGAGACAATTAATCAAATATGAGAAACCAAAAACTACAGAAAGACTGGAAATACAAATTACTAAATATGATGGTGAACTTGAGTTCCTAATAAGTAATAACACATACTAATAGAACTGAAATAATAACTTCTAAACAGTTTAGCATAACTTGTAAGTTAATGACTTCAAATCAAAAGCAAAGCTTCTAACCAATAAAATAATAGTGATGAAGTTACCTTGTAATAACAACCAACAATGTCAACAACATAAAAACCATATTGTTATTAGTTAAGTATATGATGTTATAAGTTAGGTGTTATCAGTTAGATTGTTCGGGAATATATGAGCACATTATAGAAGATAAATTAATCTACATGGTGGAGTAGTTATGACACCTTCTGGCAATGGTTATTTACTCATAACCATAAACTAAATATGATGGTGAACTGGATTTCCTAATAAGTAATAACACATACTAGTAGAACTGAAATAATAACTTCTAAATAGTAAACCATAACTTGTAAGTTAATGACTTCAAATCAAAAGCAAGCTTCTAACCAATAAAATAAATAGTGACGAGGTTACCTTGGAATAACAACCAACAATGTCAACAACATAAAAACCATATTGTTATTAGTCAAGTCTATGATGTTATAAGTTAGGTGTTATCAGTTAGATTCTTCGGGAATATATGAGCACATTATAGAAGATAAATTAATCTACATGGTGGAGTAGTTATGACACCTTCTGGCAATGGTTATTTACTCATAACCATAAGAAATTTTCTAGAAACTATAAGAAACCACAAGTAGTTGATTTGATTCCTCAAAACCTTCAAGTAAAGACATGTCCTAGAAAATTAACTTCTAAAGAAAAAGTAAGAACTTATACTCACAAAAAAATACAATCAGTAGCAACAACATATTTACCTCAGAAGTTCCAAGGATAATTAACGAGAAAATAGAAAATAAATATGTGATTAACAGCAAGAGTAATTATATTTTCAATATATTGGGAAGTTTTAAAACATGCAAGGCATATAATAATTGAACTAGAATAATAACTTCTAAAGAAAAAGTAAGAACTTATAAGTTATAAGTTATTACTTGATCATTATATAAAAAACAAAGCTTTGTAGTGAATAATGATAAATAAGGAAGTATGAGATTAGAAAGATAACAATTAGTAGCAGCAAGTCAGCAACTACATTTAAGCTCATTAGCTCAGAAGAAAAATAATGAAAATCAGAAACTAAAAATAAGATTATGATAGGGCCCTGAGCTAAATAGCTAAAACCAATATTATTAATGCTTGATTTGAATAAGCCTAGGCAGGGGTTTATATAACCCTTACATCCAAAACTGAACAGAAAAATAAAATCAACGGGGTAACCCGTTGCCCAAAATAATCAACGGCTGGATCCGTTGCCCAGAGCTAAATAGCTAAAACCAATATTATTAATGCTTGATTTGAATAAGCCTAGGCAGGGGTTTATATAACCCTTACATCCAAAACTGAATAGGAAACTAAATCCTAGTAAGAAACATAATAGGAGTCCTAATTAAACCATTCAAGGAAACTAAATAGAAATAGGAAACCTCTAATTAATAGAAGTCCTAATTAAATCATACTAGGAAACAAAATAAATTAGGAAACAAAATAAAAGGAATAATTAAAATTAATTAAATTGCTCACAGCCAGCCCACGAAGGTGGGCTCAAGCCTGTCCCGCCCCATGCTCTTCCCGCTTCATATCAATCCATCCTCCTTCAAATTAACCTTGTCCTCAAGGTTGAAAACTCGCGGATCGGGAATTGAAATTTCCAGACATAGTATAGACTGGAAAATATCCTTCTCTTTCCGGGACCTTTTCCTGGCCAGTTATTTCACAGAATTCATGCTGCTTGTGGTCCAACTCTTCATCGTCCTCAGCTATCATTACCCGCAGCTGCTTAAAGGGAAAGTCATGTGTTGGTGTAAATGGTTTCTTGCACCTAAAGCATAATCCTTTCGCCCGTAGTTCTGCAAACTCTTCCGGCGGAAGTCGAGTGAACTGAGAGCGTGTCGTAGGCTGCCCAGACAACCCTGACTTCGTCCCCGGAGGCTGTCCACTATCTTTCGCAAAGCTGCCCTCCGAACCCTGTAAGCTGCCACCAATGACAGTCAACGGGGAACCTGTGTTTGCCCTTAAAAGGCTGCTAGAACGTACCCCTGATGAATGATAATTCAGGCTGCCACTTTCTCCACTTTGGACGGACAGATTATACTCAACTTCGCGAGCTAATTCCATAGCCATCTCTAGGTTGTTTGGTCGGAGCAATCGCAGCGAGCTTCGGATTATCTCCTTAAGACCGCTCATGTAATATCCCAAATAGTGCTCATCGGGTAACCCTAGAACTTGGCTTGCTAGCTGAACAAACAAGATATTGTAATCTTCTATAGACCCAATTTGCCTGACTCCGGACAATCGTTCATACTTATTCCCCTGAAATCGAGAATCAAATCTGTCCACCAAGGCTTGCTTGAAATCTGCCCAAGTCATCCCAGGCCTGCACGATCTCAGCCAGGTCACCCGGTAAAGCGCTCCTCCTTCTATAGTTGCCATCGCGGCAGCCACCTTCTTTTCTGGTAAAGTGTTGTGTAATTCGAACTGTTGCTCTACCCGAGCGATCCACCCAATTGGGTCTCCCCCATCGAACGACGGAAGTAGCGTTATAGTTGGATTGCTCAGCACGCCTTCTCCATGCAGCTCGGTTGCCGGGATTCAACCCACGTCATCCGCGGCTTTCTTCGGTGTGACCGGCGGGGCCATCGCCTGGGTCAATGTCGCTAGAGAGGCGATGATCTCCGACAGCTTGCCACCCTGCTCTGCCTGTTCGGCCCTTATCCAGGTCACTTCTTCTCTCATACGAGTTTGTTCGTTCTCCAGCTTTGTCAATCGATCATTCTGAGATCTCGTCATCTTGGCGGGACGGGATCCGGCAGGTCGGACCAATTGATAAGATCAGAAAAATAAAATCAACGGGGTAACCCGTTGCCCAAAATAATCAACGGCTGGATCCGTTGCCCAGAGCTAAATAGCTAAAACCAATATTATTAATGCTTGATTTGAATAAGCCTAGGCATGGGTTTATATAACCCTTACATCCAAAACTGAATAGGAAACTAATCCTAGTAAGAAACATAATAGGAGTCCTAATTAAACCATTCAAGGAAACTAAATAGAAATAGGAAACCTCTAATTAATAGAAGTCCTAATTAAATCATACTAGGAAACAAAATAAATTAGGAAACAAAATAAAAGGAATAATTAAAATTAATTAAATTGCTCGCAGCCAGCCCACGAAGGTGGGCTCAAGCCCGTCCCGCCCCATGCTCTTCCCGCTTCATATCACCTGGGCAATTTGAGATCCTATCAGATTAACAAAACAAGTACACTAGTTTCTCAATTAGAAAGTATCATAACTCATTAGGCATATACTAATAGAACCAGAAAAATAACTTATAGCCAATAAATAATTACTTATATCTTAAAACTGAGGCACATTAACACCATCCTCGTTATAACATTTCATCGAATAGTTGGTGGGCATAACTTAAGTTTAGTAACAACAATCAACTCAAAGACAGAACTTGAACTCAATATCTATTTCAACAAATAATTGGGAGATTTAGAATAAGTTTGCATTACAAATCATCGTTTACCAATCTTATCTAAACCATAAATGATAAGCTCAAGGTCACAAAGGGATAATTTTTAGAAAAAGTAAATTTGAGAAAGTACAGTAAGCTATTCACACAGCTCATTGACACAGCTCGTAAAAGTTCCTAATTTACATAAGGAGTATTAAATCGTTGAAGGGGAAGAGGTGGAAGGAGACAGAATGGAGGCAAACCTGGAACGAAATCGGATACGATGATAATCCAATGAGATAAATTTGCTCTGCGATTGGATGGATTTAATAGGGGGCTTGGATCTCGAGCAGGGGTAACACAAAACAAAACCAAATTCAGCGACCTTCTTCAGATTTAAACAAACGTCGCCCGCTCAATTTCGCGATGTAACGGAGAAATCTGGACGAAGAAGGTGCTTGCTATCAACCGAGGATCTTCATCTTTTTCCATGGGAGAGAAAAAGTACGTAGGGAGCAGGGAGTCGTGGATGAAACGAGAATTAGATAACTAGAAACAAATATGTATACCAAATCATTTACTGAGGATTGGACTGGAGGAGAGCCATGAGATTAGATGTGATCTATTGGCTCCTATTGCTTCTCAGTTTTTAGCGGAAGGAAGCTTCTCATTTGATTCATTCCCTATATATATATATATATATAGAGTCCTGATCCTGTCCAGACGTCCGGACAGGAACCGCCGTCCGGCCGGCGGCGTTTGGCCGCCTTCCCGGTGGAATTTTTTGATGAAATTTTTATGGCATGTTCTCCATCAAGTCTAGTTTATCCACAAAAAAATTCAGTCAAAAACTCAATCGGGAAGGTCGTCAAATGATTTTTGCAAGTTAACTGGTCCGGAAAATACATATTCCGGACCAGTTAACTTGCAAAAATCATTTGACGACCTTCCCGATTGAGTTTTTGGCTGAATTTTTTTGTGGATAAACTAGACTTGATGGAGAACATGCCATAAAAATTTCATCAAAAAATTCCACCGGGAAGGCGGCCAAACGCCGCCGGCCGGACGGCGGCTCCTGTCCGGACGTCTGGACAGGATCTTTTCTATATATATATATATATATATATATATATATATATATTATATGAGTCCTGATCCTGTCCAGACGTCCGGACAGGAACCGCCGTCCGGCCGGCGGCGTTTGGCCGCCTTCCCGGTGGAATTTTTTGATGAAATTTTTATGGCATGTTCTCCATCAAGTCTAGTTTATCCACAAAAAAATTCAGTCAAAAACTCAATCGGGAAGGTCGTCAAATGATTTTTGCAAGTTAACTGGTCCGGAAAATACATATTCCGGACCAGTTAACTTGCAAAAATCATTTGATGACCTTCCCGATTGAGTTTTTGGCTGAATTTTTTTGTGGATAAACTAGACTTGATGGAGAACATGCCATAAAAATTTCATCAAAAAATTCCACCGGGAAGGCGGCCAAACGCCGCCGGCCGGACGGCGGTTCCTGTCCGGACGTCCGGACAGGATCATTTGTGTATATATATATATATATATATATATATATATATATATATATATATATATATAGAGTGCTCTTCATGTCAGGCCGGCCTGACGGGCTGCCCCGTCCGGCCGAGCCCGTTTGGGCACCTTCCCGATGGAATTTTTTGATAAAATTTTTTGAGCATGTTCCTCGTCAAGTCTAGTTTGTCCATACCAAATTTCAGCTCAAAATTCGATCGGGAAGGTCGTCAAATGATTTTTGCAAGTTAACTGGTCCGGAAAATACATATTCAGGACCAGTTAACTTGCAAAAATCATTTGACGACCTTCCCGATGGAATTTTGAGCTGACATTTGGTATGGACAAACTAGACTTGATGAGGAACATGCTCAAAAAATTTCATCAAAAAATTCCACCGGGAAGGTGCCCAAACGGGCTCGGCCGGACGGGGCAGCCCGTCAGGCCGGCCTGACATGAACATTCTTCTATATATATATATTTCCCTATATATATATATATATATATATATATATATATATATATATACCTATATATATATATAGAATAGAGATCAAATACAAACCATGTTTAATTTACAAAGTACAAACTTATCTTGGTCATCCGATGAGTTGATCTAAAGGATATAAAGGCAAGGTGGCATTTTTGTAATAAAACCTAACTCTTCTAGGGTGCAACTCGTTGAACGTTAATGTGCAACTGCTATTTTATGACTATATAATATGCAACACTTTGAACCTTAATATGCAATGCAAATAACGTCAAGGTGCATCGTACAAACATTTGCACAATAAGCAGAATTTGTACTTGATCTTTCCCCTATATATATATATATATATATATATATATATATATATATATATATATATATATATAGGGAATGGATCTGGTGAGAAGTCTTATACGGCTGAAAAGTGAGAAGTCATCCTGATCGTCCTATTCAAAGTAATCTACGGTTGTACTTTTAAAGTAAAGCAAGATTAGTAGTCACGTATTTCTGGGAAGGCCCAAATTTTCTTTCAGAAATTCCCAACCGTTCATAACCGAGACAACAGTTTCAGAAGAACTTTCAATCTCTCTTCCAAAGTTCGAAGAACTTGAATCGGTCTTCAACGAACTTGAAGCGGACTTCGACGAGCTTAAATTGGAATCCGCCGAAATTGTGTCAGATTTTTCCACCGAACTTGAATCGGATTGCGCCGAAGTTATGTAAGACTTCTTTGAACTTCGAATTGAATTTTCAAAAGTAGTTTTACGAAATTCAATAAACTTCGTCTCTATTCTTAAACTTGTTTCATGCAATTTTTAAATGCATTCCAAGTCTTCGATTTAAGATAACTTGTAGATTTTCATCTAGATCTGTTGAAGCAGATTATAATAAATTTGGCAGAAGCCTATAATAGTATGTGTCCGATTAAACTAATCTAGTATCGATGATACAAATGCGTATTTGAAGTAATATGAAGCACCCTATTAAATGAGTCCAATCTCCAAATATATGCTTCTACTGTGGAGCTATTTGTATCTTTTCTTCTATCTAATTCGTAGAAGTCATTTCAGTATGAAGTTTATTCAACTTTAATTTTCTAATTTCAGGCTTTATTTGTGGAAAGTTTTAATTAAGTTACACCTGCCATGTGTTTGTTGAAATACTTGAATGATTAATATGCCAGTAATTTTAGGTAGCAAGTAAGTGTGTAAAGATTTAGTTTAAGAATTTAAGTTAGACCTGCCAAGTATTCGTTGAAATGCTTAAATGATTACAATGTCATTAACTTAAGGTAGCAAGCAGTAGCATGGGACTATATGGCTGCAACTTGAGCTTGATGTTTACAAAACTTTTAGTTCTTACAACCTAATTTTTGAAACTCATACTTTTGTAGTCTGTAAAGTATGAATTCTATTAGAATTAAAGTGAGACTACAAGTTATTACTTTCTTTCTATAAGTTATGGCTATGGCTTTATTAGTCTGTGCTAACGTGAAAGAGTGCTTGATTAGTCGGTGACGGACTCTCTCGCTACTAAATCAGAATGAACAGTAAGTCTCCTACTCTCCTCATCAAGTCTCTTGATTATATAATTATGATTATTTTAGAATTTGAACACAAGAAGTGGAAGATTATGTGCCTGGTTGTAAGAATAGGATAGAAAACCATGCTGTCCTATTCTCCTGTTGACTTGATGGAGTTACAAACCTCCAAAGTGAAGACCCTATGGCCCTGTACACAATGATGCCAACACATGAACTGATGAAGCCATGGTAAAGTCCTGTGACACCATCTGAAGCAAGTGTCTTCTCTTGAAAGTTGTTCATTTTGATTAAAAAGTTGTTTTTCTTTATTTAAAAGTTATAGTAATTCTTAATTTACTTTTTTATAAAGAAAAGTGTGTATAAGATCTAAAGTTTTAGAGGTGTTAGCATTTTTAGTAAAAGTTGTCCTTTTGAGTTTAAAAGTTATGTCTTTTGAATTACAAGTTATATCCATGGTTTTACTTTTTAGAGGTCTAAGGAGTTTAAACAAAAGTCTAGTCTTTGGGTTTAGAAGTTACATTTTTTGGTTTACAAGTTATAGTAATTTGGATAAAAGTGATGTTTTTTTTTAAACTCTCTAAATAGAATTGTATATTGTAAACACTTACCATACCATAATTATTTACTTTATCACTTTTTTTGGAACAACAAGAAGAAATTATTTACTCCGTACTTTATTAGTGACATTGAGAAAGTGTGAGTCGTTGCATTTGCTATTTTAGACTTCTCTATATATTATTGATAATTATTGGCCTGTAAGGATTTAACACTTATGAGGGGCAATGCATTTTCTTATGTTACAAGTTACGAATATTTTATTAAAAGTTATGGATGTTCTATTAAAAGTTATGTTTTGTATTCCACAATTTCTTTTAAACCACATTGTTTTGATTATACTCATTTCTTTTTCATTTCAGTTTTCACTTTAAAATTGATTCATTGTTTTAAAATGTACAGAGATATGGTAGCTAGTGAGTCCTATGTATGATTGACCCAATGAGCAACTTTTAGCACAAATTATATTACTTTAATGACATATAACTTAACTAATAACATAAAAACAAAAGCCACAAATGATCAAGCTCTTGCTTGTAGGAACGGCACAACTCCTAACCTTAAAAATATAACTTCTAATAGAAATGCAACATCTTCATAATAAAAGTTAATTATTTTAGCACAAGTTATATAACATTATTGATTTTGATGTTTTCAGCTAATGTTAGTTAAACGTTATGTATCTAGCGTTAGAAGTTATTACTTTAGATCTATTAGTTATAAACATATATTCATTTATCTTTATTGCAGAAGATCGAAGAAAACATGGAAGCCTTAAGCAAAGATGACATTGATGATGATAATGAAGTTATTATACAAGCTGATCGGTGGTGATGTACACAAGTTAACCCTCAACACTAAAAAGAAGAGATTGACAACGACAACACCACTCTATTAAGAAGCAGAAATAATTTTGTTAACTGATTATTATTTTTTTCAAATAGAGTTGGACACTCAATACCCTTAGTTTTTTTAAACAGAGGGTACTCTTAGGTGTTATTTTGCATAAAGTTTGGCAAATGACTAATAGATGGAAATGGTCAACTTTTAAACATAATGTGATAACTTTTTAAAATGAAAAGTTACATATTTTTTTACAGCCTATTAGCTCAACTGGAAGAGCAGCGTGTGACTACACGAAAGATGTGAGTTCGAATCCCACATAGGCTATCTCAACAAGGTGGATTGATGATTTAATTTATTTTCCATACTTTAATTTCATGTAGATGCTCCATTTATTTTAAGTGTAGAATCTAATAGATCATGTATGTGCCTTAGTTAGAGTTGTGTCATTTTAAGTTGGGTATGGGATGAAAGACATTAATGCAGTTTTGATCTTACTTGAATAAGAGGTATCACACCTTAGCTCTTACTTGATAACATATTTTAACCAAATTTCATCATTGTTTTATTTATTTATTTATTTATTTATTTGACACGGAAGGCCTTTATTGCTTTGAGTTCTTTTCCAAAAGCTTCATTTGTATCGCAGTCCGGTTACTGGTGAGAGATATGACTCTCATTTCGTACAACCAACA